CGGCTTTTGTACTCCGCCAGGATATTACCCGAGGCGTCCCGCACATAATAGGTGTTACGGTACTGGTAGCCCGAGTCGGCTGTGATCGTCTGGTTTTTACTGACCCGCTGACCGGCGCCATCATACACAAAATGAAGCTTTGATTTATTGATACGGTTCTCTATATCGGTGGCCTTGCCATAAATATTCCACTGCACCGAGTCGGTGCCACTGGTCATGTCCTTAATCACGTTTCCCGTCTTCATCATACTGGAACCGCACCAGACCCGGCGAAGAGGGCAGGTAGGGTTTTATATCTTCCACACCCGGCTTATTAAACGAAGCCGAATCCAGCACATCACCCAAGCGGTTGTTTATACCGCTGTTGGGATAGTAGTAGCTAAAGTTATCCATCAGCACACCTGCACTGTCCCTACGGGTCAGCGCACGCAGATTGCCATCCTGGTCATAACGGTACGAGCTGGCAAAACGGTTATTAAACTGGAGTGTATTGTTAGGATCCCGCTTTGCATAACGCGCATAACGGATCCGGTTCAACTGGTCATAAGTATAGGCCGTGGTCAATGCACCAAATGGCGATACATCGGTTGTCTGACGGGCTATATTACCATTGTACAGGTTTTTCGGTGTAGCCGGCAGGCCGGTTACCGGCACCTGCCCGATGGGCGCATAATCGCCGTCAAAATAATCAATGCTGGTGGCAAACACATCCTTCGGCGTGATGCCATAAGCCATACGGCCATCGCGGCCCATATCGGCAGCGGTATCGGCGGCATCCCCGTTTATCGATTTCAGCCAGCCTTGCAGCGTATAGGCATAATCAATCCCCTGCACCCGCTGATCGCCCAGGCTCACACGGGCCAGCGGACCATGTTTGTAATACGTATAACCGGCATCCCGTTTCCAGATCACCCCATCACCGCTTGTCTCCACCTGCGTAATACGGTTATCCGCATCATAGACATATCGGTGGTAAAACTGGTCCGAGCCGCCCCGGTTATATGCCAGCATATTTACCTTGCCGCTTAGCAGGTCATATTCATAATCCACCCGCTTGTAACGTTGGCCCATGCTTTCCAGCTCCGGTATATCGCGCACCAGCGTTTGCACATTGCCCGTTACATCATAGCTATAATGCGCAGCGTGTACATAACCCATTGTAAAATCCTGGTTCGCCGCACATTGCTCATAATATAGGTTCGCACCGATACGGCTCCGCAGGTTCTCCTGGCGGCTCATGCCCGTGAAGGCGCTCAGGTCGGTCAGCGCCTGGTCATAGATAGTCACCACCACCTGGCTGCGTGGCCGGGTGCGGATCATGTTCGCAAAACTCGTATTCTCATAGTCGTTTATGAAAATGCCGATATAGTTATCCAGGCAATACTGGTAAAGGCTGTCACGGGTATTTTCACAATAACAGCTGCTGACGGGTGGCGGCAGCTTATAGAGGTTACCACCGCCATCGCGGGCATGCGTTTTATAATCTGCAAAGCCGGGGCAGGTGCTCCATAACATTTCACCGGTTTCCATCACGCGGTTCTGGCCGTCATAGAGCATATAGGTAAAG